ACACACTACACACATAACACACACACACACTAACACACACACACACACACACACTACACACACACACACACACACATATATATATATATATATATATATATATATATATATATATACTCGTATAATTGTGTTCGCAATTATATAAATTTATGTACACTGATGCACTCATTATTATATACATATATCAAGAGATATTCGGACGTGAGAATTTATGTACCACCGATATACTGATCAATATTTTTATTCGGAATAAACGTACATGCCGAAGTAGATCATACCAACACCGAGATATAGTTTCTAAATTGCCTGATTGTAAAATGAAACGCAAAATGTGTACGTTACTCAATGATTATATACGACCACTAGCACATAGAGCTGTCAGTCAAGTACATACAGCATATATTTGGTCAACGAGCATAAATGGCCTGTAATAGACCTCCAACCCCCGTAATCCAGAGTACATCGCACTTTAAACTGTACAAATAGCTTTGAAATTCTACGCAAGATCCCAAACGCCTACTGCAGCCTATATAAGTCGTACGTCATGTCCGCATCGATTGAAGCGTTTAAACTGATACTGAATCGGTCAACTACACGGCCAATTTGGTCAGGAACAACTAGAATAGTTTAAAAACGCCACAACTACTACACACCTTGTCTCGTTCTACCAGGAGTTTGCGCAGGTCCTCTCTGAGTTGTTTGTCTATGAAGTTCTCATATCGATGTACAGTTTCAGGATCGAATTCGGGCCTCGCCCCGTCTGCTGGAGGCATTGTTCAACTATTATATTAAGGTTTATACCAGTAGTATAACAGCGTTTCGGAATATACACGTGTAAATGCCGTGTGAAACTGTAAACGACCCAATTGAGGTTGCTGAAGATCCTACTAAGGTAGGAAAATATGTATAGCAATATAAATAGCTGCAGATTCCCGTACTTTTATGTATGGGCTGCCTGTAATCTGCTTCACATGTGAGGTTTATTAGTGTCCACATACGCCACCGCGCATACGCTTTGTGTATAAAAAATGTTTTTATTTTTACTCAACACAATTGTATGTGTACCCCACATATTGTAAAAATCAAAATATAGTTGTTTTTAGTAACCGATTAGGGCACGTGAAAGTTGGGTTCTTGGGTTCTAATGGCAGATCCGTAACCTCTCTAGCGGCATGCGGAACCGGCGTTTATATGCTCGCAGTCCACACGCCTCTACAACACACTTCACATGCGAACAATCCTGTGCATCTGATAAAGCGTCCACCGTGGCATGCGACGATATAACTAAATGTACGGTTCAAGCTGTAGGTACAATAATGAACGACGGTGCGAGCGTTCAATATGACTATATGCTCAAAAATATATTGTTAACGTATATAATCAAGACTTACGAGAATCATGGCAGAATATATACAGTTATAAAAACCACGCCTGATCTATTACCATCCATATCTATATCTTAATATTAACGAACACCCGATTTGTATTTAGACTACACTCACAGGTTGACAGAAAGGTTCATACAGTATTGAAACAAAAAGCACATCGCTCTAGAGAGTGGACATATAGCATAAATAGTTTTCTAGAGAAAAATTACAAGATTTAATAAACAACATATATATTTATATAA